CATCACCACCACAGCCCTGCAGCCACACAGCTGAAGCAGGCTCATTCCCGCATGTCAGGGTTGGAGGCAGCCCCACAGGATGCCTGGCCACAGCTCTCCCACACCTGCCCCCAGCACCGGCAGCATTTGGCTCCAATCCCATCTTTCCCTTCCTCCCCAAGGGGTTCTTATGGCTGTGGCCGAGCTGTTTGGCCGCTGCAGGACAGCAGGCAGGAGCCCTCAGCCCTGCTGCTGATGAGAAACCCATATCCCACGGCTGCTGGAGCTCCCACCCTTCCTCCCGGCCACCCTTGGGGCACAGCACAGCTCCTGAAGGGGAAATCCTTGCCCTTGCCCTTGGGGCTCAGAGTTGGCTGAGTCACCCTGCATCCCTGCTGCAGCAGGGGGATTTGGGGGGCTAGCTCGCAGCACCTCTTTCCCTGCATCCCAGTGGGGTTTGTTTTGCACCCCCTCACTCTCCATCCCAGCCCAGCACATTGTGTCCCATCAGCCGTGCTTCATCCCAGCCTCTCCCTCGGCTTCCAGTGCTTCCAGCAAAATTCCTTTCTGGCCAGTCATTGCCGCCCCTCGGCCTCGACGCCTCCGGGGCCGGCACACACTGATGGGGCTGGGCTTCCTCTTCCTGAGCTGCTGCAGCCCCTGCCACGCTCCCAGCCTGCTCCTCGCCTTCGACCATTGCCATGGCATCAGCCTTCCCTAGGGACACGAGGGGACTGAGTCTGCCAGCCCACCTGGGTGCCCAGCTTCCATCATCCTTGCCAGGAGAGCCGCATCCCATGCATGGCATCCCTGTGCATGTGGGTGAGGGTGAGAGGATGATTTACAGCCCCACTTGGGGCAGGGATGCGCAGAGGATGACTGCGGTCAATTGCTCACTGCAGGGAGAAGTGGGAGGCAGCGGCTGCTGGAAGAGGGCTCAGCCCTATGGAGGTGTGAGGACTCCTGAGAGCATCATCTGCCCTGACACACTGCTGCTGCTGCTGCTCCCCCTCACCTCCCAGCATCCATCCCAACTGCCAGGCACATCCCCAGCACCCATGAAACTGGATCCCATGCTGACACCCACAGCACCCAGCAAGGACACCTCCCCTGCGTGCAGCCTGCATCCACTTGCTCACATCTCACTGCACGTGCCAGCGCTCAGCCCCCGGCACCCACCCAACTCAGCTTCCCACAGTGGCAGCACCTCTCGTTGTTAATTAAAGTTTGAATGCTTTGCTCTCCCACAGTCTCCTTCACCTGTGGCTCTCCAAGCATTGTGCAAATATTAATTACCGGTAATTAATTAAATCAGGCCTCCCCATCCCCCTGTGGAGATGCTGTCTCATAAACATGCTGACAGCAAACAGGGTGTCAGGGCAGAGTCTTCCAATTACCTGTTGCTAATGATGCACACTCCACCTGCAGCAGTTTCTACCTAATTGATCTGGAGGGCTGATGGCCTGGGAGGAGGAGATAGGTGGGAAACCAGCAGGACCTGGTCAGATCCCAGTAAGGGATGGTGGACGGTTCTTTATAAATGCCCCTGGGTGTCTTCTTTCAGCTTGTGCTCCTGGAAGCTTGGTCCTGGTTTGCTGCTGGTGGGGTATGGAGCTTTCTTTGGAGCCTTTCACCCCTGAGCTGTTTCGGGGGGCTGTGCCCTATTACTTGCATTGGTGTTTAGCTGCTATCCCTTTATGATGGGGATCATCTCCCTTCAGCTCCATCCTCCTGAAGGACTCAAAGTGTTTCAGGTGCAGTGTAAAGGTTCAGTATTCCCCCATCCTGCTGCTCCTCAGTGGAGGGCTGGCAGGAAGAGGACAGGAAGGCAAACAAGGCTGTTGACCCTCCTAAAGCAGCAGGTGGGTGCTCTGGGAATGAAAGAAGGGGATTGCCCAGGGATGCACAGCAGGAAGGTGCAGATCGCTCCCTGCAGTGTGGCTGGGAGCATCTCTTGGGCAAGGTCCCTCTTCCCTCCTGGGGGACAGAGCTCCTGCGTGCTCCTAGGTGTTGCTGGGGGCACTGTCTCCCCCCTCCCAGGTCACAGGCTCCCTTGCTTACGTATAGCTGCCACTGTCTGTCCCTAAGCCCATGCAGGGCACGGATCCCTGACCGGAGGTGCCACCGTAATCCGGATCAGTGGGAAATCTGTTGGGTGCGCAGGCAGCCCTGGCTGCACCCGCAGCAGATCGAGCACCACCCAGGACATGGGGCATCCCTGCAGGAGACAACCTCTTGCACTGCATCATGGTGCACGAGTGCATTAACTGCTGAGCGAAGCCAGCTTAATTCCCACTCTACAAGCAACAGCAGCAGCAAAGTGGGGTGAGATTAAGGCATTCTTTGGGCAGCTCCCTCTCCCCCGGTGTATTCCAGCCTGCAAGGCCACTAATGCTACTTACATTATTACTGGATTATTTGGGTGTAATGAGCTTTGCCCCGCTCAGCTGTCCCCCCGCTCAGGGCTGTTGTGATGTGTAATACTTCCTGTGCAGGGCCACGAGGCGGGCAGCTGCCTGCTCACAAACAACCAGAGCCCCAGCAACACAATGCGTTAATGTTCCCAGAGCGAAATTCCAGCGTGGACCGGAGGTTAATCACAAATCAGGGAGCTTTTGGCATAATGCTGAACAAAGCTGGCAGGAGGGAGGGTGGCGGTGCCTAAGCCGGGTCCTGACCCATCTCCATGGGTACAAATAGGAGTGACCATATCAGTTCTGGCTGTGCAAGTGGTGTAAGGCAGCTATAAGCATCTCTTCCATCCTGGCTCCTTTTCCTCTGCCTTCCTTCCCATCAGAGCTGCCAGTGCAGGGGCTTGGCGATGTGTTGCTATGGACACCAGGAAGTTTCCCCTGGAGACCAGAAACCCGGAATAAGTGATGCCTGCATTTTCTGACATTGATTTTTTTTCTACTTCCCTTTTTTTTTATTATTAATGTTTGTTGAAGTGTTGATTAATTCCAGCCTCTCATCCCACCTCCCTCCTGCTTTCTCCTCCAGGCTTTGTGGATTGCCATGGCTGTGTCCCAGGGCTTGGCTTCTGCTTCATTCTAGGCAAGGGTGTGAGCATGGGGTGTGTGGGAGGAAGCTTCAGTGCTGTAACTCTTGCTCTGCTGGAGACCCCTATAGAAGAGATCCCCCCCTATATTCCAGACATCCTGTTGGGATCAGGCCTGGGTCCTCCCAGGCTGCTGCAGAGCTCATGAGCTCCCACCAGCAGCAGCCACCACAGGAGGTCCTGCACCCCTCTTCCAGGGATTCTGCCTCCCTGCTCCCTTTACAGGTATCCATCATATTTAGGATCTCAAAGTGATTTAGACCTAGTCTAGTTAGTGTGCCTGCTGGTCTGAGCTCCAGACCTGAATCCTGTTTGTAGATCCTCCATTAGCACTGCAGTGCCCTTCAGTACCTTGGGTACCTCTGTTGGCCTCTGAGAGCTGCAAGAGCATGGTCAGGAGTGAAGTCCCAGAAGCTCTTGGAAGCTCCCATTGAGGCTGGAGCCTGAGCTTTGCTGAGGGGCACACAGGAAAGACCTCAGCTTTCCTTGCAGCCCTCAGGTTGGACTGAGCAAAGCAGGATGGAGCTGGAGTGGTCAGGGAGGGTCAGCCCGTTTTCCCAGTGCTGCATGTTCCCAGAGCATGTCTCTGGGCACTTGACACATGGGATGAGGTTTTACTGTGAGGCAGTCTCAGTGTCACTTTGACTTCTCTTTCTTTGCTTTTGAAGCCAATAATGGGCTGTTTCTGTTCCCTGCCACATGATCTGCCCCCCTGGTGAATGAGGAGCCTCTCTGATGAGTGATCTCCTGTGTCCTTTCCTCCCTGCTCTGGAGGGAGTTCTCATACCAGGTTTCAATCAGCTGCTTCTCTTGTTCCTGGGAATGCAGTTCAGCACTAGGTCAGAAAGTCTCTGCTCCATTGAAATCCTGCCCTTCGCTGCTTGAGCTGCCCAAATTGCATCTCCCTCTCTGACATCTTACACAAGCAAGTCCTTTGCTGCTTGGCCCCTGCCTGCAGCAGTTAGTATGGTGTCACCTCTTGCAAGCAGCCCATGCACTTGCAGATGGGGCAGGGAAAGAGGAGCGTGTTCTGTGTGTGTCTGGGGATTGTGCTGGGGCAGCAGAAAGATCTCCTGCTCCATACGGTTCCTCTGCTGGAGCGTGGGGTGAAGATGCTGAGCATCAGCCCTTCGTGGTGGTGTGCGGAGCTGCAGCAGGAGGTGAGAGTGGAGCTGAGACCCAGCACCACCTGCATCAGGAGAAGGCTGGCTCTTCCCACTGCCCCAGGGACCTGTGTTCTCCTGTCCTCCCCTGCAGCCCCCAGCTCAGCACAGAGCCTGCACGTGCCACAGTGGGGCTGGGAGTGCTGCTCCTCACCGAGGAGGTGACAGTCCCACCAGGGCCAAATGCTCAATTGCTGTGATGTTTGAAAGCTCCTTGAAAAATCACTTCTTTATCCAGTTCTTACCCAAACAAGTGGAAGCTCCGCAAACACAACAGTTCCTTCCCGTGCTGCTGCCAAATCAGTGCTCGCTGGCCTGTGGCTGAGCAGGTCAGCAGCAAGCCAGGGTTGCTCAAGAGCTGAGTGGAGCAGAGCCAGAGGGTAGCTGGTCTATGCGTTGTCCTTCTGCACTTGTCTAGGAGATAGGAGAGCATCTGTGGAGCTTTGTGTGGCTTTGGGGTGATGGTGTGGGTGACCCGGTTATCCGTGCAGGTGACCTGGTTATGCACGCAGGGACAGGGAGCAGTGCCTGGGCACTTAGGGCTGCAGACCTGTGAGCCAAACACAGGTAGTGGTTCTCTTGTGGGGACAGGGAAGTCCTGAATCCAGACAGGAATATGCACCCAGCTTGGAGTTCCTGTGTGCCAGCACAGTCCCTATTGTCTTTGCTCTGAGAGATGCCCCGATGTCCAACACTGTCACAGTCACTGGAGGGCTCCTCTGCAGCCACCGTCTGGGGTCAGTGTGTGTCCTGAATGCTGACAGACCCTTCCTCTCTCTCGCTCCTCTCCTTTCTGCCAGCAGTTCCCTACCAGCAGAACCCCTACACCCCCGGGAGCAGCTCCACCGTCATCCAGTGCTACCGCTGCGGGGACACCTGCAAGGGCGAGGTGGTGCGAGTGCAGAGCAACCACTTCCACATCCGCTGCTTCACCTGCCAAGGTAGGAGGGTGCTGCCCCAAGAGCTGCTTCCCCCACAGCCCTGGGTGCAGCCTGGAAAGCAAAAGGCTGGGGGCAGACGTACCTGGACCACTGGGAGGTGGTCACACACCCAGGGGTGCCCATGGCGTGGTGCAGGAGGGGAGGTAATGGCAGGGGGTTGCAGGGTGCAGGCAGTGTCCCTGTGTGACACAGAGCCCCTGTGAACAGGGGTGACCAAGAGCTCGGCACCAAGACCCTTGAGCTACCTAAATGTCAACAGCCCACATTGTGCCATTCCCAAACGTTCCCACAGCCCATCTGGGATCTGGGGGTCCCTGTATCCTTCAGCCTCCTGCCCCCACATCAGGAGGAGGTGATTCCAGCCTGAGTGAGAGGTAGCAAGGTAGGGAGATGCCCTGAGTGGCTCCTGATGGGGCTGGGGTGGGTGATGGATCGCTGCCACTCGCACATGGGATGCGACCAAGGCACTGTGGGATGCAGGTTGCTGCAGCAGGGACACCGCAGCCCCCAGGGGCTGGCAGATAGAGAGGCTGCTTGGATCCTCCCTGTGCACAGGAGCTGCAGAGCTGTAAAAGCTAACGGCCCAGAGCTGATGCTGAAGGGCTCCTTAGCGTGTTTATTGGAGCAGCAGCTCTCAACCGGGCCAGTGTCTGCTTCTGTAGGTTGTAAAGCATCCCATTACCAGGGCTCTGGGCTTCCAAGCTCCCAGCACTTTGTGCTAAGCAGGACATAAATCCCCATCCCCTTGGTCATGCTTTGCTGCTCCTCTCTGGGGAGCAGGGCGTTTGCCTGGAGGGGACTCCTCCCCAGGGCTGTCCCCCCAGGTCTTTAGGAGGAGCGTGGTCCCAGGTTGTCCTTGGGGCTGCCCCACGTGTGCAGGGGCTTTGCTGAGCCCCCTGCCCCTTTCCAGCTTGGACAGGAGGGATAAAGGAGGAGCTGCCTATCCAGACAAAGAGCTCAGACAGCCGCCGGCTTCAAAGGGTCCAGGAGCCAGCAGGGACAGCTTGGCAGCACTCGCTGCCCGATTTCCAAGTGAAAGGGAATAAATAATGAGAGGAAATCCTCCTGTCTCACCTTCGCTCGCAGCTCGTACCCCGCTGCCACCTCTGCCTGCTGCCAGCTCCCTCGCCAGCCCCACGGCTTGTTCCTGACATGTCGCTGGGAGCCTGGCATGGCTGGTGCAGCCCCTGGGGAAGTGTTATGGGTCCCACAGCAAACAGGGCCCAGACCTGCCTCGTTTCTTCTTGCTTCTGCTCCCTGGTGCTGTCCCAGAGCTGGTGGCCTGTCCTTGTCACTGACAAGTGAATGCATGCAGGCTGCTTCAGGGAGCAGTGGGTGAGGATGCTCAGTGGGAGAGGAGCTGCATCTCTGCCCCATGGGCCATGCAGCAGCGGGTCCAGCTCTGCCGAGGGGGGGGTGTGGGTGTGCAAGGACAGGACCAAGGGGTATGTAGGGATGAAGGGTAAAGCAGAGACCAAGATGGGCTGTGCCAGCAGGTTCTCAGTTGCTCTGTAGTTTCCCCTTCACCTTCCAGGATGGGTGATGGGCATCATACAAAGACCCCAGGACCCCTGAGGTGCCTTCCAGGGGCTGATGCTCTTGAGGTCTCTCTGTAAATGGCAAAGACATGGGAGGGAAATGACACTAAGGGCTAGGGCTTGCCACGTCAACTTGGATTGCCCTGATGGGCTGTGCACCACCCATGGTTCCCACAGCAGGGAAGGAAGTGAGGTTGAGCTGGTCACCTAAGGAAAAACAAGCAGTGAGAGCATCAACACCAGTTGCTCCCAGGACCTGTTCCCAGCTTCACGTCCAGGTCAGGGAGCAGAGATGGCTCACCATGGAAAAGGCCATGCCCCAGGGTGTGGAGAATGGGGAGCACTCCCAGCTGGCCCATTCTTTGGCAGTTCTGTACTGGGCTTCCTGACAGTGTCAAACGGAGGGGCTGAACCCCCCCCGGGTGCCATGGGCTGTTTGTGGATGGTGAGTGGGAGCTGCAGGGTTTCCCTATGGGAACCCCCAGCCCTGGCTGTCCGGGCAGCACCATCCTGCACCCCGCTGCGGCCCAACACTGACATCTTGTGGTGCTGGGCGAAGGCCCCAGAGCGTCGGGTGGGAAGGGGAAACCCTAACCCTAACCCTAACCCTAACCCTACTGAGGTACCTGGAGAAAGCTGCGTCTTCAGGGATGCTGCTGGAGGGGCAGCAAGAGGTGGGCTCAGAGGTGCCCCCTTGACGGTTCATGTCCCCCCTGCAGTGTGCGGCTGCGACCTGGCCCAGTCTGGCTTCTTCTTCAAGAACCAGGAGTACATCTGCACGCACGACTACCAGCAGCTCTATGGGACCCGCTGTGACAGCTGTGGGGACTTCATCACTGGAGAGGTCATCTCTGCCCTGGGCAGGACCTACCACCCCAAGTGCTTCGTCTGCAGCACGTGCAGGTGAGCTCTGCCGTCACCAGGGTGCATGGCCCCCTGCAGAAGTGTTGTGCACCAAGGACAGGGCTGTTCCCTACCCTCATTCCCTGCTCAGCACCTCAGCAGGAGCCTCCTCTGGGTTTCCTTGGTGGAAATGAAACGGTTCTGACCCTTCCCATTGCACCCAGGAGTGTTGCCATGATGCTCCTGCCCCAGCTCACGTGCATGCTCACTGCCTCCCTCGGTAGCCCTTGCTCCTCAGCACCATGGCTCTTGCTAGCCCTGGGGAAGGAGCTCACAGGCAGCCCCAAGCACTGCATGGAGGGGAGCAGCAGCTCACACCTCCCCACCTCTGCTTGGCCGCAGGAAGCCGTTCCCCATTGGAGACAAGGTCACGTTCAGCGGGAAGGACTGCGTGTGCCAGAACTGCTCCCACTCCCTCATCAGCACCAAACCCATCAAGATCCACGGGCCCAGCCGTAAGTTGAATGCTCCTGTGTTATGTGATGGTTGCAAGAAGGGACCGTGTGCCCCTGGGTGGTGCTGGGCTGGGCTCTGGGGCCAGGATGCAGCCCTGCACAGAGCCGCAGGCATCACAGTGGTTCGGAGGAGGAACAGGGCAGTCCTGCAGCTCCCCCTTGCAGTCACCGCTGGTTTGGGGAGCTCCCTTGGCCTGTCTGTGACCTGGAGCAGGGCCACCAGCCCAGCAGGAGCTGTCTGAGGCACTGGGGAGGTGCTGGAGCTGGGTTTGCTCTGAGGCAGTGCCCAGATGTTTGTGTCCAGCTGCACCAAGGTCTGTGTCCAAGTGCCAGCCCCGGCACTGCTCGCCTGCTGTCCCAGTGCTGCTGGGGCTCACTGCTTCTACAAGCACTGAAAGGCTCCTTACACTCATCCCCTTGCACTGGATGAGTCCAAGCAACAGGCAGGCTCTTTTAGATAGATTTGGCTTGCTTTTGACCCAGGTTGTTCCTTGAGATGCCTTTTCTTCATGCCATGCTTTGTCCCCCCAGTGTTTCTGTGCTGGTGGCTCTCTGCCCCAGGTCACGGCAGATCATCCATAGGTGCTGTGCTTGGGGGCTGGTAGAGCATCACTGTGGCATGGAGCTGCTGCCAGCCATTCACCATGGTGGCACTGGTGGGGGCTGTTTGCGTTGAGTTATGAGTTGGTGCTGATGGGTCCCTGGGAGCCCTCCCAAGCTGACTCCCCCAGCTCTCACCATGGCCTCGATGGAGTTAGCGGACGTGGCAGGGTTTGAAGGAGCGCCAACCAAAGGACAGTGCTTCCCCCATCTTCCTCCATCAGCACCTTCAGCTGCCCAGAGGCAGGCTGTGGCCAGCTGCAGCACCCTGCTGTCTCCCATCGCAGGGCCAGGGCAGCACGCAAGGGAAGGGCAGCCACATGCTCTGCCTCTTCCTCTCTCTGCCCATCCCCTTCCCAACAGCCCAGTGCTCCCTGCCTGCAGGGGAGGATTACCTGAGGACACCGTGCTTTATTCATAGGCAGCAGCCAGCTGTACCCTGCTGCCTGCATGTGCCTCCTGCTGCCCAGGTGACGCTGGCAGGGAAGGTGTGCCTGCTGGAGGCAGTGCTGGTGTGCTCTGCGGGCAGGACATCCCTAGAAGATGCTCATCCTCTCCCTGTGAGCAGCCCAGCAGCCAGCAGGACCTGTGAGAGACGCAGATCCTGTCCCAGCTGACTTGGCCAGCCTGCTCTTGCCGGGGGTCAGAAATCCTCCTTCCTTTGCTTTGTCCAGCGGGCAGGGACTTGGTGCAGAGCTGCCTGGGGTGGGCTGAGAGGCAAAGTCTGCTCAGGCTGCCAGTGCCGTGCTCCTGTACCCCCCTGGTGCCGCAGTGCAGAGGGAGGCGACTGGGAGGGGGTTAAGGAGAAACCCCATCCATGCAAACCTGCTGGCCAGGGAAGAAGAGGACAAGGAGGAGTCAAGGTCAGGGGTCCATGTGCTTCCTGCTCCCAGCCTTGGCAGGAGCCAGGGGAAGAGGGGAAGGAAGGGAGTCTCGTCAATACCGCAGCGGGGCCGGACGCGGCTGCCGGAGAGCACAGCCCTTCCTCTGCCGCACGCACTGCCGGTCACTTCCCATTGCTCCCGCCTGGACGGGAGCCCCCTGGGACCTGCCAGCCCATGACCTTGCCTGGTGGGTGCTTGGGTGGGATGGCTGGGTGCCAGTGGTGCTATGGAAGCTGCAGCTCCAGCAGGAGGTTTTCCTCCTGCCTCCTTCGCTGGGAGCAAGCAGAGGTGGCGTATTCCCATGAAGAAATGATTCCCCATGAAGAAATGATCCCCAAGAGGCTGCCCCTGGAGCGGTGTCAGGAGCAGGGTGTTTATAACAGCAGCACCCCTGGAAAAGGGTGTCCTCTGGGTGCAAGGGTTGTGCCAGGTTAAGCAGCTGGGGTGCCTTGGTGTGGGTCAGCAGATGTGGGTGTTCCTGCTGTGGTGCTGAGCCCCACAGGGAACTGCGGTGGTCCCAGCCCCCCCTCTTCTGTCTCCCCAGACTGTGCAGGCTGCAAGGAGGAGATCAAGCAAGGCCAGTCCCTCCTGGCCCTGGAGAAGCAGTGGCACGTCAGCTGCTTCAAGTGCCAAACGTGCGGGATCATCCTCACCGGCGAGTACATCAGCAAGTGAGTGCCACCGGCCTGGCAGCAGGCTTGGCTGTGCTGCCCATTGTCAGGCTGTGCCCCTGGGGCTGGGGCTGAAGCGAGGGGATGCCCAGCCCTGCTTCCCTGCCCTTACCCCCTTCTTCTCCCTCTCCCAAAGGGATGGCATCCCTTACTGTGAGTCCGACTACCATGCCCAGTTCGGCATCAAGTGCGAGACCTGCAACAGGTACATCAGCGGCAGGGTCCTGGAGGTGAGTCCTGGGGCTCCAGCCACCCCATCCCAGTCTGTAATAGGGACCATGTACATCACATCCAAAGGTGCATGCTCTGGGGAGGTGTGGGAACTTCATCATCCTGCGCCCTTGTAATAACCTTGATCTCTCAAGGCTTTTCCTGTGGTACAGTGTGATTACCTCTGGAGGGTGGCAATGGGGGAAGGAGCACCACCATGCTGCAGACCTTTGGAAAGCTGGTTTGGGTGCTGGAGCTAAGCAGCCAGAGCATGTGGTGGCCTGAGTGAGCTGGGACACATCTGGAGCCCAAGATGTGGGGACACAAGCCTTAACCATCCTGCTACCAATGCCCAGCTCTGGGGTGTCCCCACCACACTGGTCCCAGCCTTCCGAAGGCATCCTGTGCAGGCAGCCTGCTGTTGCCTTGGAAACGCATCCAGCTCAGCTGCTGCTGCGGAGCCTGGGCGAGGGGCTGCAGCACCCTGCCCATGGGCAACATCCCCATGGCACATCTCCTGCAGGGCAGCAACCAGAGCAGGGGTCCCCTTCCCTGTGCTGGATCCGGAGGGGTTTTGCTTATCACACTGGGGGCAGCAGGAGCTGCTCCAGCAGAGCCACTGAGGGATGCAGGGATCCCACAGCAAGGCATGGGTGCAGGTGGCTGTGGAACTGCCTACCAAGAGGTGGTCACACTGCTGGTCCTGCTGGCCTGAGAGCACCCAGCCTGGCTGGGGACCATCTCCTGAAGCTGGAGCCAGGACCAGGAGCCCTCCAGCATCTTCCGCCTCTTCCGAGAGCAGCCTCTGTTGAAGGCTTTCTGCTGACTCCAGGCTCCGGCAGCAGTCCCAGTGCTGGCTGCTGTGAGTGTGAGCTCAGCACTGCAGCAGCTGCCCATCATGGGGCCACTTGATCAGCAAACATCCGAGTGGAGCAGGGTGAAGCCAGAGGCCCAGTGATACAGAATCCCTGCTGCTGCTCCCTGATAACCCTGTGCTAGGACAGAACATCTCCAGCCACCCCAGCAGGCTGGGTGTACATGATGTGGGATGATCAGTGGGTGAGAGGAGCCAGGGGGGACCTGGAACCAGCCTGGCCAACACCATTGGGCACTGCTGCCTCTGAGCCACTTGTTGCACTGCAGTCAGGTTTTCCTTGCTTGGTGCATCCACAGTGAAATCAGGACAAGCATAGGTTGTTCCTGCAGCTGTGTGTCTGAGAGAGAGCAACAAGTGGGGGGTAGCAGCCCTGGGGTGGGGAAAAGGGGACAGACTACCCTCCTCTCCCATATGTCTGTTTCCCCTGGCTCTTCTCCTGCCAGTAGCTCTAGTTCTGTCCACCTCCCCCTGTGCCCTCCATCCCTAGATCTGCTCCCAGCATCTGCCCTTCCTGGCTGGAATGAGCTGACCAAAACCCACTGAGATCCCATGGGAGCCGAGATGCTCCAGGAAACAGTCCTCTTGCATTAGCACCTTGCATGCTGCACCCAGGGCCACGCACGGGAGCCCTTCTTGTGCAGTGGGACTCTGTGGGCTGCAAGTAAGGTGCTTTGGTGCCAGGGTCCCCATGGGCAGAGCCAAGGTGCCACCTCCTTGTGTGTGCTGTCATGGAGCCAAGAGGAGCGTGGGGTTTGGGTACCAGAGAGCAGTGCTGGGTGAGCATCCCTCACCTCCCCACACTCCCCGGTACGTGCCTGCTCGCAGCATGGAGGGATGTGTAAAACCAGAGCCTTTAATTGTCTTCTGTGGCAGAGCGTGAAATGGAAAGGGCGCCTTAAAATAATGTGAGGCTGCAAGGAGCCTTCCCATGCTATCCCAGCAGCCTCCAGGCTTTCCCAACTGCTCCAAGCTGTGCAGCCAGGCTCGGATGATTAATAAGTCTTGAAGGGACCCCAAGTGATAATGAGCAGGTCTCTGCCCTCGCAGCTTTTTATCAGCTGTAATATTAACCACTATGAAAGGAGCAAGGTTTGGTCATGGTCTGGAGAGCTGCTCCTCGAGAAGGAGTTGTGTGTTTTGAGATGCTGAATGGGTTTCAAAGGTCTGCATTGAAATGGAAGTTGGGAATGGGCTGGTAGAATACCACTGGGGGAGCAGCCACTGTCCCTCTGCATCCACACCCCGGTCTGCAAAGCATCCCCTTTTGGCACAGTCTCACCTATGACAGCAGCCCATAGTCTAGATAGGAAAAGATGTGGGTTTGGTTTTTCCCTTACTGTCAGCACACCAAGTCTTTGAGAGTACTGAGAGGGTCCAAGAGCACCAAATGCTGCCCACATTCAGAGATGGACTAGGGAGGGCAGCACATCAGAGCCCCACATCCCCTGCTTTAGCTGCCTCTAGCCAGCTGGAAATAGAAGCAGTGGGAACTGCAGGCACACTGGCTTGAAGCCTGTGCGAGCTGGATTAGTTTTCACCCCTTTCCTTGTGTTTGCAGCCATCTCCTGTTGATGCAGCTCGGGGTGCCCTCTGTGGGTACTGCTGCTGGGTACCTGATGCAGAGGGTGCTGGCTTGTGTTGCAGTGGGCAGCTGCAGGCAGGGCTCTGAGCACAGGGCATGGGGCAGAGCCTGGTGGAGGGTGACCTCTCTGCTCCTCTGTGTTCACAGTGGGTCTGTCCCTGCAGCCCTCTCACCACTGACTCCCCTGCCACGTTATCAAGCTCTTGGGTGTGAATTGGGGGTGTTTGAGCTGTGGGCTCAGTGGAGCCAGCCTAGGAGTGGTTGTGCTGCTGCAGCGGGCACAGGGAGATGCCCCTTCCCCAGATTGGGTTGCACTGCAGTGGGTCTGAACCCTCCCACTCACCTCCCTTGTCTGCCCTGAACCCTTGGGCTCTATTTTGGCATAAACTAGAGGGGGGAAAGCTGCTGGCTGCCATCTGCACCCCAGGGACATTGAATTCCAGGTTGATTTTTATGGGCAATCAACTGGCAGATTCCCAGTTATTCTCACAGCAAATTTTCCTGTTGATCCTCATGTTTCAGACTGGCTCCAGCCCCCTCTACCATAACCCTCTCTGTCACCAAGGGCCTCCGCTTCCCTCTGCTGCCTTAAATCATCGTTCCTCTTCGTTTGGATTATTATGGGAGTAAAATGGCCTTTGGGGTTGAGTTCCGACAGTGCAGCCCAGATTCCTCCTGCCTTGAGCCAGCTCCTGCCTCCCAGCCCAGAAAACGAGCCTGTAATTGAAGTGCAGGCAGACACTCTGAGTGGGAACAAGCTACCAATTAAAGCTGTTATCCCTGTCAAAGAGCAAAGGGAGCAGCCCAGCTCCAGCTCAGCTGGGGAATCGCTTGTTCCTAGCGCTGAAGTTTGTGCATGGCTTTGTAGGAGGAGAAAAGTGTCTTGATGGAGAGGGGCTGGCAGTGGCATCCAGGGAGGGTCTGACTGACGGCTTTGTGAGGTTCATCACTGGGGCCCTTCTCCTGCCTTCGCTGCTTCCCTGCTGTGACATCCTGGGCCAAATCTGCTGTTTCAAGCTGTAGCAGGGAAGGCGCACGCCTGAGTGTTCCTGCAGAGGGTCTCTCGTCTCCACAATGCAAGGGCAGTTTGTTAGGTGTGAGCTTTGTAGGGGCATCGTCCTTGGGGGTTTGGGACTCGTGGCTGTGCTTTCCTGTGTGTTGGACAGAGGGAGAGCAGAAAGCTTCCAGTCTGACTTGTAGTCCGTGAGGTCAGATCAGTGATGAGGCAGGCTCTAGTTTTCCCCATGAATTGTGGTAGTCCCTGAGGCCACCCTGGGCAGTTTTGCCCCATTCACTTTGTCTGCTGCAGGGATGCCAGGGCCACTTGCCCTCAGGGGTGTGAGCAGGTCACCACGTCCTGCCTTGATCAGGAGCCCCTGTTCTGTGCTCGCCCCTGCAGGCAGGAGGGAAGCACTACCACCCCACCTGCGCCAGATGTGTCCGCTGCCACCAGATGTTCACGGAAGGAGAGGAGATGTACCTCACAGGTAGGGGTCTGCAGCAGTGAGGAGGGGCTCCCCTGCCCTGCATGGCTGGGGGGCTCTGTGTGCTGTTTGCAGGGGCATTTGGGGTTTGGGTGCCCATGGAGATGGGTGCCCAGGGAAGGGTGGCCCAGGACCCCCTCCCCACTGCTCCCAACCCACCCAGGTTACGCTGGGAGCAGCACCAGAGGGGTCAGGCTTCTGCTGGGCACAGCTGAATGATTTGGGTTTGGGTTTGGTTTCAACAGGAGCTCATTCCCAGAGCACCCATAGGGGATATTTCCAGTGCAGAAGGGAGGGTTTGGTTTTGCTCAGTAACCCTGAGTCGCTAATGATCCCATGGGTGGCAAAGGGGGAATTGTGCACTGGGAGCACTCAAGTGGGGGTCCCAGCACGGCCCCATTATGGCAGCAGGATGGGCGCACTCAGCGGACATCCCAGGGCTTGGTGGCTTTGCTGGTCCCAGCCCTGAGGGAACTGGATGCTGCAGGCTCAGTGTTACCCCTGGTTTAAGGCACTGGAGCTGCCAGGCTGAGCACTGGGGCTGGGCCAGAAGCACCCCCGGGTTTGCTGTCACAGTTCAATAGTGCTGGCCACTACATCTCAGTGCTTGGGAGCTGTTGCATTTCTTTTTCCCAACGAGCACATGCTGTGGCTGCACCGGTTACAGGAGTGCAACCTGTAGCTGCAGTGCAGCTGCTACTGGGGACAGGGGGGCCACAGGCTGCAGGTCAGTGCTGGAGGTGGCAGGACAGGACAGGACAGGTCTCCCCCATGGCAGGGGCAGCAGGATGATCCCAGGCAGCAGAGCTCAGCTGTGTGTGAAGCTGATGGAATGCTTTCTCTGTGCTGCGTTGCAGGCTCTGAAGTGTGGCACCCCATCTGCAAGCAGGCGGCCAGAGCAGAGAAGAAGCTAAAGGTAGGCACCAGGGTGATGGGCATCTCCCAGAGGTGGCACCACGCAGGGGACGTTGCCCCTAAGTCCCTGCTGGAGGTGAACAGTTGTGGCACTGTCCAAGCCCGGGGTGGCTTCCTGATGCCATGTCCTTGCAGCCCAGAGGAAGCAATCTGCTTGCTGCACCCAGCGCTGTGCCTGTGCAGAGGTCCCTCCTTGTGGTGTTCTCATCTGCCCTCTGCTTTTCTGCCTCCACAGCACAGAAGGACATCAGAAACCTCCATCTCACCCCCTGGTTCCAGCATCGGCTCCCCGAACCGTGTCATCTGTGTAAGTACAGCTCTGCCTGTCTGCGTGGGGCAGGATGGATGCTCCGGCCACAGGGAAGAGAGCAGCAGTTCCCAGGGCTGCTCTGCAGTGTGAGGTGTCCCCCAGGGACACAGCCCAGTGTGTGGGGCCAGCAAGGACAAGCCGTGTCCCCTCTGCAGCAGCATGCCGTGCTGCCAGGGCCACTGGCACAGGCCAGGAGCACTCAGAGGGTCACAGTCCCCACTCCCAGCTCCTCTGCCCCTTCCCACTTGCTGCCTCCCAGGCATCTCCTCTTACCTCTTCCTACTGCTGGGGTGTTGGGGGGCTCTGTCTGCTCTATGCTGGTTCCACACTGTGCACTCCAGCCTCCCCCTTTCTTGTCTCCTCTTCCTTTCTGTCTCTGTCTCTCCGTCTCCCTAGGCTAAAGTGGATAATGAGATCCTTAATTACAAAGACCTGGCAGCTCTTCCCAAGATTAAAGCCATCTATGAAGTGCAGCGTCCTGACCTCATTTCCTACGAGCCCTATCACAGATACACGTCGGATGAGACACTGGAGAGATATAGCTATGGGGAGGTACTGAGTCTCGATGCATCAGCTCTGCAGGGAGCTGGGCCCCAATCTGAGGCGATGGAGAGAGCTGCATGTGGGTTCACTTGCTCCAGTGGGAATACTGCAGGGAGACAGGAGGGGGGTAAGACCTCTCCCAGAGGCTCCCCATCACTGGGAAGAGGGCCAGAAGGGTAATCTTTACATTACTGCTATAGAGTAAGGAAGAAACCAGTGACCTTATCAGCTGATGGCAGTGCTGCAGGCCCAGTGTGCAGGAGGCGATGTCACCCTCAGCAATGAAGTGGCAGGGAGCTCACCATGGCAGCCTGCAGCAGGAGAGGAGGGCACACATCCTCTGGGATGGAGGGACAGATGAACAGAGGGCTCTGCCTGGAGCCTGGCCGCTCAGCCCCAGCACAGTGTCTCTGGAACGTGCAGGGCTGCCCCTGTTGGATGCTGGTCCCACAGCCAGGGGAAAGGGTCTTGGTCGATGTGTTTTGTAAGCATGTGATGAGATGATGCTTAAGCAGCACATGGCACGGGACTGCCCTGCCCCACTCTCCCAGGCAGACTGGGATTGATGGGTGATTGCAGCAAGCCTGTGGAAGAAGAGGTTCTGAGCAGCTCAGAGATGGGGACCTGAGGTGGACCTGGAAGAGGACTTTGCAATGGCCCACAGCAGCATCTCTTGCATCTCCATCCCAAGGCTTGTCACAAGTCTGGTTTCCACCAGAGATGGTGCAGGCCATGGCCTGCTGTGGAGCACCGTGGGGCCAGCAACCGCCTTTTCCCCTTATAGCCACTCCACCAAGGTCTCTGAGCAGGGATGCAGGCTGCTGACCCGGGAGGTTCCATCCTCTCACCAGCTCCCCTCCTGTACCAGTGTCCTGCCACAGTTCAGCCCCGGCTGTGCCACCAGCTGGCCTCACTACCTGCACTGAGGCTGTAACGTGGGACCCCAGTCTGTCACTGCTCCCTTTAACCATGTGCTGTCTCTCTCTTTCTCTCCCCACCTCTCTTTGCCTCCTGCTGCCTCCAGTCCCTGGGAACCCTCTCCCCGTACTCGCAGGTAATGCCCCAGCAGGCGCTTTGGGGTCTGTCACCTGCTGCCACTCCAGGGTGTCCCTGTGCCCAGGGACCACTGGGCTCTGCTGAGCATCCCCCTGCCTGGGTGGAGACTGGGGGATCGGGCCCAGCAGGGTCCTGTCCTTTGGCCCCCGGGCAGAGCAGTGTGCAACCCTCCCTGGCAGAGGACCTGCCTCATCCCTCATTACGCCGGCTCTAATCCTGCTCTTTCCGTGTGTTTCCCGGTCCCTAGGACATCTATGAGAGCTTTGACACACGGCAGAGGCGAGCCTCCAGCCCTGGCTACATCGACTCCCCCACCTACAGCCGCCAGGGCATGTCCCCAACCATCCCGAGGTCCCCACACCATTTCTACCGCTCAGGTGAGGATTTCAGCTGCAGCCCCAAGGCTAAGCTGAGCTCAGACCCCAAATGGAGTCAGAATCACCAAACTGGCCCCTGCTTACCCCAGGGGACCTTGGCAGTCTCTCCTGGCAAGCAGGCAGGAGGCCTGGGGGTCTGGGGGGGGGCTGACAGCAACAGGAGCTGTGGGGCAGTGACCAGCTCTGCTGTGTGCATCCGCTGCCTCCCCTGACTCATGTGAGCCGTGAGAAGAGGCCAGAGGGGCTTTGTCCTGGCTCAGATCTGAGCTGGGGCCTATGGAGGATGGCAGGGTGGTAAGCCCCAGGTCCAGTGAAGACCCCTTGAATGGCTTGTCTCTGGGAGAGGTGTGCATGAGAGCGCTTATGCCCAGTCGGTGCTGTAAGGGGGGTCCTTACACACATACATGCACATGTGCACATGTGTGTGCATGCCCTGGAGCATGGCGGGGGGAAGCAGAGTGTGTCTGTGCCACGTCTCCTGCCCTTCGGAGCCAGGGAGGAACGACTGGGAAAACCCGAGGTCAGTAAATCCAGAGGTCCTGCATTCCCTGCGCTGCTCTGCGCTGCCAAGGGCCCGTCACTGTTTGCCTCTGCAGCACGCCCGGCTTCCCCCTGCCAGCAGCGGGGCAGCCCTGCACAGCACCCGCACACGGGGTTGCCTCTGAATCCCACTGCCTCCAGAGATGCGGGGAATCTCTGCTCCATCACATCCCATCCTGGACCACAGCCTGGCACACGTCCACGCCACCACATGGGTCACCCCCTGCTCCTCTAACACTGCTGCATTTAACACCCGTTTTCTTCTGCCTCTTCTTTCTCTCGGTCACTTATGGCTGCTTCTGCTCGGCACCGCGTAGGCACCGAGAGCGGGCGCAGCTCCCCCTACTATAGCCAGTTAGATGTGAGGTCCTCCACTCCAACCTCATACCAAGCGCCCAAGCATTTCCACATCCCAGGTAGGCTCTGGGGTGCCCCGGCCCCGGGGAAGCGCCGTGTTTGTGGCATGCCAGCATGTGCCGTCCCTGCTGTGTCGCATGCGTAGCTCCGCCGCCTGCCTAGAGCCAGCTGGCAGCAGGATCGACCCCTGGTAGAGGCCATCCATAAACAGGACCTGCAGCTTGAACCCTCCTTCCTCCCCATCACCACCCGGATGTCCCAGAGCTGCCCGGAATCTGCTTGATCCTTTCAGTGTCCCTCATCCCTTTTCCTTTATCTTCCTCCACTCCCTACACGGAGATGAGTCCCTTGCAGAGAGCCTGCCCCTTCCCCTTTCCCCCCCCCCAGGATCACAACCTGAAGCGTGTCTCTGGAGGCCTTTCCGCACCTATCCGCTACAGATGACTATTTTATACTCCCCATAGGGCCCGCTGCTCCCTCCCCCCAGAGTCTTCTGGGCTTGCCAGATGCCTGCTCCCCTTCTGCAGGGATTGCAGGGGGACACCAGGTAAGGGCCACCACCCGCTCCCACAGAGCCCACGGGGATGGGGACGGACGGGCAGGGAGGGAAGCAGGCAGCTGCCCATCCATCCTTCAGCATGTGCAGGGGGGCAGAGCCCCGCAACACCCTGCTCAGCTGGAGCATCTCCTGCTGCCCGTGTCCTCCTCCATGATGCAGAGCTGATGCCCTGGGACAGCACCATGAGGACACCCGGAGGATCCCCACCATGCTCCCACCCCACCCCTGGCAGGGTTCGGTCCCGCTGCCGGTCGGTGGTTTATGGATGGCCCCGTCCCTGCTCCGCTGCCTGTCCCCTGCGCAGGGGCTGTAGCTCTCAGCGCCAGGCTCCAGTTGCTTTCCCTCCCGGCTCGCTCTTTTCTCTCTCTGCTGTGGAAAGAGGCTTTGGCTGATGTGGTTTTGCCCCAGCAGCTCGCAGGCCGTTGTTCCCTGCGCTGGCACCCCGAGGAGCTGCAGCAGCAGCCGGTGGCTCCCGGCTGCGCTGCTCCCGGGGCTGGTGGTGCATGCTGATGCCGGGGTGTTCACTGCATGTCCTCGTGCGCACCGTGTTTGAGGGCAGCCCCGGGACCTCGCTCCTGCTGCCCATCCTGCAGCCTGCCGGGCACTGGTCCAGTGTTGGGCTCCCGTGGGATGCGTGGAGCCAGAGGTGGTAGTGTGATGGAAACGTGGCGTGGGTAGCACCTCCTGCAGGACCTGTGTCCCGTCAGCACTCAGCGTGCCCGCACTGACGTGCCCGTTTCCCTTCTTTACTTCTTTCTTCCCTTTCTTTCCTCTACCAGCTGCCGGCGAGAGCAACATCTACCGGAAGCCCCCCATCTATAAGCGGCACGGTACGTATGGTCTGCATGCTGTGCCCCGGCCTCAGGACACAGGCAGGGTACCAGCACAAGGCTTGGTCTGGCTCGTGGCATTTAGGGGCAGGGTGGGACATGGGAGCAGGCATCAAGGTGTGAGATGTTGGGGTGCTGACCGGATGAGCTGGTGCTCCTGCTTCCCCTCCAGGCAGCAGTTGCAGGGCTCAGTGAGAGAAAAAGTCAGCTTTGGGTTGTGTCCTTGTCGGGAGAGATGGAGGCAAAGGCTGTCAGTGGGACTGGGGTCCTGTGGGGAGGGGGAATGAGGCTGTGGAGGGGTGGCAGAGGGTGCCTTGCCCTGAGGAGCATCACTTGCTGATGCCAGGAGCCAGAGCAGCCTCAGGAAGAAGATGAAGGTAATTTGCAGTTTGACATGGAGCACTGGAGGAAAATCACAGCTTATCCTGGATGTATGCTCCAGGATGAAAGGGCCTGGAGGGTGTTGAGGCATGGGGAGGAGGCATGGGGTGGTTGGTGCCTCAGCAGGGCTGGGTTGCACTGTCCCTGCTTGCTTTGGTGCGTAGAGGGACAGCGGCTCCCCCCCAGGCAGTAACTTCGGTGTCTCCTCTTCTCTCCCTGGGCTCTCCTTTCCCTCCTGCCCAACTCCCGCTGCCCTGCTGCTGGCTGCACCCGCTGCTGTAAGTAGCTGCCATTGGCAGGGTCCCCTGTGCCCGCTTGGGGTGGTGGGATAGTGCTGCCACATTGCCTGGCCTTGGTGCTCCTTCCACTTCCCTGCTGCCTTCCCTGGCAGTAACCCACTGAGAGCCCTTTCCCTGCTGTACTGAGTCTTCTCCCGTCCCCTCCTGCCTGTGTGGTTATAACCCCCTCCTCGGTGATGGGACAGCCAGGGGGAGTCTGGTGGCACTGGTGGTACAGCGGCTGGTGTGGACACTATGCAGGAACCAGCGCTTGCTGTGGTGCTGTGAGCTATGAACCATTCAGGTCCCTTCCCAGCCACATCAGCAACAGCCCCTCTGCTTGTCACCATCCCCACTATCTGCCTCTGCATCCTCGTCTCCCCGAGGTGTCAGCACTTTGAACATGGATTATCCCTGTGCTGTTTGGTGGCCACTGGGGAGAAGGGAGGGAAGAGGATTTGCTTTCATCCTGGGATGGATCTTTGCAAGCCCTGCCAGTGGGACTCAGGGTCCTCATTGCAGCTCTGCCTGCTCCTATTGCAGACAACCCCCCTGCAGCCACGAAAAGCAAAACCAGCGAAGACATCGCACAGTCATCCAAGTACAGCCCTGCCTACTCCCCGGACCCGTACTACCACTCGGAGTCAGAGTACTGGTCCTTCCAAAGCTCTCCCAAAGGTAACAGCCCCTCACTGACCAGGGGGAAAGCAAAACTCATTCCTGCCCCATAACCCAGCCTTTCTCTGGGAGGGAGCCACCCCAAAGTTGGGTCTGGACCTGAAGGTGGGGTTGGGCCATGATACATGCCAAAGTGACACCAAAATCCTAGCCCTTGGGACTCAATTGTCCCCACACAGTTGGGAACTGCCTGCTCCCTACCTGCCTCCACCTTCATCCTCGTCTGACCCCTTCGTTTGTCTCCTTGCAGCTCCTCGAGCCCGAAGGTTCTCATCTGGAGGCGAGGAGGATGGGTACGACCGGGGCATGCACAAGGTGAGCAATGCCCTGGCAGGGAAGAGCCAGCAGCAAGGTGCCCCCATGACAGTGGGCTCTGGGGAGGAGACCCAGCCTAGCTCCACCACCCAGGAAGGGATCACCCTAACCCTGCTTCCCTTGGCATCCCCAACATGGGGTCTGAAGGGGGGTGTGAAGCAGCCTTTCCCCCCTGCCCAGATCCAGAGCGGCATCGGCCGGCTGATCCTGAGGGAGGAGATGAAGGCTCGGTCCAACTCCTATGCAGACCCCTGGACACCCCCTCGCAGCTCGGCCAGCAGCAGAGAAGCCCTGCACACAGTTGGCTATGAGGGCTCCCTCAACGGCTGTAAGGACCCTGTCTGTCTGTCTGTCCATCCCACCCAGCAGAGCCCCATGGGGAGGGAAGAGCAGGGGATGGGGAAGGGGTGGTGGGCGATGTGCTGCGTACCAGAGTTAGACTTGGGGGGCTCTTTTCCTCTCCGCGGGGCTCCGTCCATTCCCTGTGCCCTGGCCAGGACGGGGCACTGCCCGATGGGTGTTTGCAGTCTGTCTAGCAGCCTAGTGAAGTGTCTCATGGGGTGGTTGGTAGTCCCTTGGGAATCTCACAGCATAGCCATGCTGGCCTTGCCCTGACCTGTTTTGGGCTCATTCCTTATGACGGGCTTCAGGGCTGCTGTCTTTGCTTGCACTGCTCTCATTGCACAGCACCCAGAGCACCCAGCCCTCAAGCTCCAGGGAGGGTGCTGGGGAGCCTGACAGCACAGCTCGCTCCATGCTGTCCCTCCTCCTGGTGCATCATGGAGCTGGGGTTGTCAGAGATGCTCAAGGACCCCCAAGCGGGACCCATGGGGCCGGGCAGCTCTGCATGGCGTGGGGTGCCCGGTCATCCCTGATGCCCGGCTCTGCTCTCCTTGCAGCTCCCCGGATGCACTACCTGGCTGACAGTGGTGAGTGTGAGCCTGCAGCCCTCCACTGCTGGTCCCCTGGGGTGGTGGGGTCCAGAGCCTGGGCTCTCGGATGCTGGGACCAGGGAGGAAAGAAGGGGAGAGAAGAAGGAGACCTTGAAAGGCCAGGGTAGAGCTGAACCAGTGCAGAGCTGGTGACAGAGAAACTGAAAGAGGTTGTGTTGCACTGAAGGGGAGGCAGGAGGGCTGCCATGGTAAAGGGATTCTGGGGAGAGGAATGTCCTCACGGGAGGAAGCCAGGCTGGAAATGAGTTGGAGCTGGAAGGAGACGGAGCAGGGTGAATGTGGAGCTGGGTAGTGACATGGGAGCACAGGGGTAGGGTGGCCCAGAGAGCGCTCTCCCAGGGTGCGGGGCTCATCCCTGCATTTTCCCTTATGCACCTTGGTGGCTTCTTTGCAGATCCCCTCATTTCTAAGTCGGCCTCCCTCCCTGCCTACAGGAGGAATGGGCTGCACCGGGTAAGTGCCTCCTGCTGCATCCTGCTGCTGCCGCACATCTCTGCGCCCCTCATCGTTCTCCTCAGGCTCCTCAAGGACCCTGGTGTGCCCTTCTGGGTGTCCCACTGCCCCCTTCTCTGCTCCCCTACTGTCACTGCTGGTCTGTGCCAGTCCAAATTGACCCTTACTGGGGTCCAAAGTGCCCTGTCCAGGCAGGAAGGACAGAGCTGCCTGCCCTGAGCCTCCTGCAGGGTACATTCAGAGGGTTGCTGGTGTTACTTTCCAGTGCAAGAGCTTTGCTTTATACCCTAGGGCACTGATTACTGGGGTGCCTCAGGGTGACCTGGGTTTGTCCCTTCACCTTCTCGTGCCTCAGTTCCCCCACTGCCAGGGGTCATGCTTTGGGGTGGGTGGGTGCCTTTCCCCCTGGGGACATGGGAGGTGTTGTGCTGAGCATCTAGAGGGGACCCCTCTTATTCCTCCCTCCCTGCATCCGTCCTGCAGCCTCCCAGTGCCGAGCTTTTCCACTACGACAGCACGAATGCCGTCAACTGGGGGATGCGAGGTAAGGCCGTGGGCCAAGGGACCCTGTAGGCACAGAGCCAGATGCCTGGCAGCAAAGGGGCCAGCGTGGCTCATGTCTCTTGTCTTTTCTCTCTCCCCACAGAGTACAAGGTAAGATATTGCTGCTCCTAGGAGCGGCGGCCAGCTGGAGGTGCGAGTACCAGAGTCCCAGAGATGTGTCCGTGTGTCCTCAGGCCCTTTAGGAGCAAGCTTTGCCCTCTGCCTACCATGCCCTACCTTCATTCCCCTCCATTCCCCACCTGACAGCCCTGTCCTGGAGCTGCGGGGCTCAGACCATGGTCCTTCCCCTCCTGCCAGGGTCCCAAGCACTTGGCTGAGCAGAAGTGCCTCCTTGATGGGGAGCAGAGAAGGGTGGTTAGGGTTAAGGTTAGGGGTAGGGTTAGGTGGTTTCCCCCACTCACGCTCATCCCCGGGTCACCGGTTTTACAGTGAACAGGCAATTCCAGAGCCACCACAGTGATTCCGTGTGGATCAGGGTCACCATGAGAGCCAGTCCCCCATTTGCCTTGTCCTGCCCAAGCCCTGGAGGCAGCTGTGCCACCCAAACCCTGCTGAACATAGCAGGAGGAAGCTTTTTCCTGGTGGCTTCCACAGCCTCATTCCCAGGTGTGCCCCAGTATGTCCCATGGTCTTCCTGTCCCTGTGCAGATATACCCCTACGAGCTGCTCTTGGTGAAGACGAGGGGAAGGAACCAGCTGCCCAAAGATGTGGACAGGACTCGGTTAGAGGTGAGAAGAGCCTTTTCCATTGGGGATAATGTCCTCAGGGCTCAGAGGGGTGTCCCCATAGCCCCAGCAGGCAGTGTGGGGCTGTGAGGGGCTCATGAACATGTGAGGAGCATCTCCATGGCTCCCCGGGAGCACACATGTGCCAGCACACTGTCACGGTGGTGCTGCTGCTCCGCTGGCCAGGCAGAGCTGTTCCCCATGCCCACAGAACCAGTGCATTTAGCAGGCGGGAGCTGGGTGCTCTCCTCTCCCCAGTGAGCACTGCTGGGGGCTGTAGCACCCCATTGCACACAGCAGGGCAGGGGATGCCATCGGACCCCCGGGTGGTGGCTCTGGTCCCCATTCCTGGCCCAGCATCCCGTCTCTCCCCAGCGGCACCTCTCCCAAGAGGAGTTCTACCAGATCTTCGGCATGACCATCGCCGAGTTCGACCGCCTGGCGCTGTGGAAGAGGAACGAGCTGAAGAAGCAGGCCCGGCTGTTTTAAATGCAGTGCACTATAAATATATACATACCTATAAATATATACATAGAAAGATCTCTATCCTGCAGCTCTGTATGATTCTCGGTGCTGTACGTGGCAGAGGCGCCCTCTGCACCCCTGAGAGTGAATTGGAGTCTCGCAGATCATTTTATGCTCTTGGTTTCCTTTTCTTTCCCAACCCTGTTACTGTGCCCATCCTTGGGTTCTCCCAGGGGCTGAAGTCACAAGGCCTGGAAGCACTTGGTGTCTGTCACTGCTGAGGTGGGGATGGCAATGCTGCACTGGTGATGGCTCCTGTCTGCTTTAGGGCAGCAGCAAATGAACCACTTATTTATAATGATTTTACTCCTATAACCTGTGTCTCCCTAACCCCAGCTCAGCCGTTTGTGGATATAAGTAACTTCCATCTCCAGCAGCAGTTTCAGTGATAAAGCCTGGAGGCTATTATTAATAATAACACAACGGTGGGAGTCTTTTCATTTTCAAAGCATTTTAAGGACAGTAACTGTTGCCCATAACTACCCACATGGCAAAGATGGGGAAATTGAGGCAGGGCTCAGTGCTCGCTCTCAGGGAAGCCTCTCCAGCCCATGCTGTTCAGGGGCAGCAGGGGTGGGCACAGGGGATGCAGAGGGACCACTGCCTCCCAGCTGTCCTGTGCTGAGTACCCCAGATGGGGAAGGCCTGGAGCCCAGCTGCTAATGCACGTCTAATGGTCCAGTTTTTGCTTTCCCAAGTGATAAGTGGGTATGTGTGAAACTGAATCACGTTTCTGTCACAGCCTGCTGTCCCCAGAGGGCTCCGCTGCAGGTCTGAGCTGGGTGAAGTCGTCCTGGGGGTGCCAGGAGTCATTGTCCCTACTGCCACATGTTCCCTTTCACACCCCACCGGTCTCTCAAGCCCAGCTTTGCTCTGAGGTCTTTGCTGGGGAGGGACAGTGACAGTGGCATGAGCATCATGGCCAGGCTGGGCGCACGATGGGCACCAGGAGGGAGTGGGTATGAAGGGGTTGTGGGCAAGGGACAGCACAGGTGAAGCAGGGAATGAGGTGCTAATGGGGAGCTGTGCTTGCTCACTAGGACTGGTGAATTAGCACTGGGTGGGGGAATCAGCCCAAACCAACCCGCTCCGGATCCTTGCTACTCACGGGGGGATCTGCGGGTGCGGGGGTGCTCAGTGCGCAGTGTGGGGATCCCGGGGCACCCTTTGCGGTGCAGGGAGGTGTGTGCGGGTCTGCCCACGGCGGGGCACCGGCGATGGGGACAGCCCCGGGCCGTGTGTCGGGGCCGGGCCGGCACTCGGCGCTGCCGCGCACCGAGGGAGGGGCGGAAGAAGCGATTGGGCGCTCCGACGGCGAGACCCGGCCCCGCCGGGCGGCTGCTGCCGGTGACACTCGCCCGCCCGCGCCTCCCGGGGCGGCCGGTGCTGCCCGCGGCTCCGGCACCATGGACCGGCTCAGCGGTAAGGGGCGATGGGACGGGGCTCTCCCCTCTGTGCCGGGCGGGCGGGTGGGTCCCGGGGGCTGCGGGTCGGGTCTCCCTTTCCAAACCGAGCGGGTGCTCTCACCGAATCGATGCGGGACTCTGTCCCCGTGGTGCCTTTGCCCCCCACCAACCCTGCGCCAGGGACACAAACTGGTACCAGTTTCCCTTTGCTGGTCAGATGGGTGAAAAGCCAGTGGTTTGAAAGCAAGTTGATGGGGTGTAAGCACTTGTTAGGGGCAATTATGGTCGTAGAAAGGGAGGTGGCTGGTGTTTCTAGATGAAGCTGATCGGATCCAGAGTTTCCCTAGCTGGGGAGGATGCCGGTGGTCTCGTAAAGCCATGGAGGACCTGATCCCCACCCTGCTGGGAAGAGGCTGCGTTCCCACATGTGTGTGATTCCTGCCTGCAGCCTATGGCATGGTGGGGCTCACGTAGCTGTTGGGCTTTGATCTGGGATAGGAATAAACCTGCCAGGGCTTTGGGCCAACTTTGCAGAGAAGGTCCGGGCTTTCTGCTGGGGCTCGCAGATCGCTGGAGGGAGCAGAGGAAACTTGGGGGGGGTTTGCTGCTCGCTGCTGCTGAACAGTGGCCTGGGGCTCCAGGTGGTGGCATGGTCTTAGCATGGGGGTACTGGCCTTTAACCAGTCCTCAGAGGTGCTACAGAAGCACCAGCCAAACATTATAACGGAGGAGGGCAGGGGCATCACTGGCTCTGCAGGCTGGGACCACGCACAAGCCCCAGGGTGGTTCAGACAGTGCTGGGTCTGCAGTTCTGGGTCAGCACCAGAGGGACCCGAGGGTCAGGAGTTCCCCTTCCCGATGTGAAAGGATGGGGTGGTGTTTCCGCACTGGAAACTCAGTTATTAGGAGTTTGACTCCTGGGGTGCCGCTCGCCGTGCCTGTGCTCAGGGAGCAGTGCCAGTGCCCAGCAGGCCGGGAGGGGACAGAACGGTGACAGGGACAGCCTTCCCCCGCGGCTGCGGCTCGCCCTGCCTGCCAGCCAGCCAGGGTGGCTTTGCCAGCGCTGAAGGAGGGTGCTGTTGCTGGAAGCAGTGTTGTCAAATGACATGTGATGGCAGAGCTGTCCTTCAAGGTCCTGCAGGGCCTCACTGATGGGGAGAGAGGAGAGCAGAGGGTCTTTGCTTCCCATCCTCCTGCTGTGCGAGTTGGTGGGAGGCCACCCCGAATCAAACCATGGACAGGCAGGGGGTGCCTGGTACGCTGCAGAAACCATCCTGGAGCACCATGCAGACAGACCTGGGCATGGTGTAGCTGTTCCGCAGGCTGACCCTGCTAGAAGAGTGCACTGGTGCTGTTTTATCCCCCTCATTGGTGCCTGCTGTGGTAGTGGCTGCAATGCCTGCTTTGCTTTGGGTCCTTGTAATGAGTTGCTGGTAGCGTCTGGATGGCTCTTTGCTAATGTAAACCTCCTGCTCATCACCCTGAATCGCTGGATCACTCTGTGCCTCACAGAGGGGAGGTGTGGGGGTCTCACCAGGTTCCCTTCCCTAGCACAAAGGGGTGCTGGATCTGCAGCGGGCAGGAGCTCTGTGCCATATTCACAGTCTCTGGCAGCCCCTTTCTTCACCTGCAGCTCCAATCAGGCCCCATGTGTATCCCACCTTGCTCTTGCTTTATGATCTGCCCGCTCCTCCATCTCTACCCGTGCTCCACCTGAGCCTGCTGTCTTCCCAGTGCAGGGCTCAGCTCCACACCAGTGGCTGCCTGTGGAGCTGTTTTGGGTTGTGCATGCGTGTGTGGTTTGGGAGGTGATCTGTGCCATGAGCCTTTGCTCTAGCAGGGCTGTGCTCACACAGGGCTTCTCCTCATTAGTGACACTTCCCTGACCTTTTGTGCCACCAGGATTTAGCTCCTGCACCAAACTTATCTGGGGTCTAAATGCAGCAAACCAGTGGAGGTGTGTCAGGGATAAACTTGGCTCCAGCTTGCCCACAGGAATGGGGAGGCCGTGGGGTTGGTGGGAGGGAGCCCGGATCATTCCCGGCAGCAGGAATCCATGCACGGAGCCTGGTGGACGGGGGTGTGGAGCGGGTGAGGAGCAGGGATCAGCTGCTAGCGCCAGGCAAGTGCCGAGCTCTCCCCCGCATTGCAGCCATTCCTTCCGCTGGAAACCCAGCTGCCGGGATCCACCGCCTGTTTATAGTCGGGAGCACGTGGGGAAGGGGCTGAGCCCACCGTGGGCTGCCCAGGTCCCTGCATGCTGGGCAGAGCAGCGGGAGGATGGCCCCAAGGGTGCTGATGCCAAGTGGATCAGGGCAACACTGGAATTATCTGTCCTGTATCTTCCAGTATCCTTCTGTGTGCTATGCTGCCCTTAACCAAGGGAAATGGGCCTTGCTGTAGGTCCTGGATCACTGCTGGAGCCAGCCTGGACATCATGGGTGCATGTGATAGCAGGGGCTGCTGAAGAGCAGGATGGTGTCCCCAGCCGGGTAGTGTCCTCCAGCCAGGGGCCCTGGGGACTGTCCTGGGCTGTGGGAAACCTGCCTCTTTGGCACGTTTGACCTGGAAATGCTGTTTTCCGGTGCAAATGTGCTGAGCCGGGAGGCTGATTCACCCTTTGCTATGGAGCAGCGCTGAGCCCCCGTGTACCTGAAACCCTCCTTCTTATCCCAGCCCAGGAAAACTCTGTTTAAGGTTTTGAAGTTGTCTCATCCCAGCAGTGGGAAGGCTTTTCAGGGGAGGACAGGGAGCAGAAACTGAGCTTGACGCAAGCTTTGCGTGCGGCTCAGTAGCCAAGTGACTTGCTGGGGACAGAGATAACGATTTAGCAGAGTAGAGGCTTCAAGTGGTTTCTGGCATCCCAGACTCATGTCCTATCCTCTTAACCCTTCCCTACACCAACTACTATCTAGCCTGGCACAGCCAAAGCTCTCCCCTAAGGAGCACACATCTCCTCCTATGTGTGAGGAACCTTAGAGCTCCACAACTGTCAATTCTGTGAAGTATCTACTAAATGTCACCCTTCCAGGGCAGCAGCAGGACAATTGGGGTTGGAAACCTCCCAGGGTTGCTGCAGCCCCTTCCATTTCTGTTCCTGATATGCCTCCCATCGCATCAAAGGCAGGCCCTTTGGCAGGCAGGGGAAAACACTGATATTTCATAAGAGTTTAGAAGGAAAACAGATCTTTGCTGCGAGGGGTTTCCATACTCAAAATGCCTTTTTTCTTGTTCTGTTTTTGAAGTGGGTTTCATGCGCATGTGATCCTGGAAGTGATAAGAGGGAGCCCGGGGAGGCGCTGGTATGTTCTGATTACTGGCAATTAGCAGGAGATGTGGAAGGAGTGGCTCAAAGAATGGCTTTGGCTTTCTTCTGGGGTTTTTTGCACGTTAAACCCATCCAGCTTGGTAATGGGGGGAAAAACCCTTTTTGGTTCCTTGTCCACTGGATGCAGCCTCTCATTTTATGTGGTCTCAGTGTCCTCTTACACCTTTGGAAACTAAGGGTGTAAAGAACAGAGCCAGGAATTTCCTACCAACAGGTTTGATAGCTGGCTTTTGTGTCCTGCAGTTAAAAGCAAATTTGGTGAACCAGTCCCGGCACTGATGGAGCCA